ATCACTCACCCTCTCCCCCCCCTTTCTTTTGCATGCCCCCCCCGTGTCTGTCCGTCCCCCCCCTCCCCCGTTTTGGGGCCCCCTCCCAGGAGATTGGGGCGCTCTGAGAGCCTCCGGGTGCCCGAGCGACGCCGCTCCCAAAAACTGGGGGGGGGGCGCCAGCCCAACCCCCCCCGCTCCCGCAGCAACGCCGACCTGCAGGGACACCCCCCCCCCACGTAGGTCCAGGGGGTGGGGAGGGGTCTGGGGAGGAGGACTCCCCCCCCCCCCCCCGGGGGGCGGGGGGGGCGGGGGGGGCGGGGGGGGCGGGGGGGGCGGGGGGGGCGGGGGGGGCGGGGGGGGCGGGGGGGGCGGGGGGGGCGGGGGGGGCGGGGGGGGCGGGGGGGGCGGGGGGGTCACTCCAGGATGTTCCCCTGGGATATTTTGGGGGGGGGGTGGTCACTCCAGGAGGTCCCAATGGGGTTTTTTGAGGGGGGGTCTCTCCAAGACAGCCCTGTGGAATTTTGGAGGAGGGGTCACTCCAGGATGTTCCCCTGGGATATTTTGGGGGGGGGTCATCACTCCAGGACGACCCCACAGAGTTTTTTTCCCGGTGGGGAGGGGAGTGGGATCACCTCTGACCCCCCCAAGTAATCCCTGCCCCATCCCCGTTTCCGTGGCCCAGCCCGGAGCCGGGGGGGCCCGGGGGGGGGGGCCCCCCGCCCTATCTGCCTCGGCAGCCTGAGGAGGCTGTGCCGCGCCTGGAGCCGGAGCTGGAGCAGGAGCCGCCGGCCTGGCGGCAGCTCGCGGCCCCCGAGGCGCTCCTCAGGCTGCCCCAGCGCGAGCTGCGGCGCCAGGAGGTCATCAACGGTGAGGGGAGCCCCGAAACTGCCCCAAAATCCTGCCCTGGAACCCCAAAAACCTGCCTGGAGTGCCCCAAAAACCTGCTCCAAAAACCTGCCCCAAAACTGCCCCAAAATCCTGCCCTGGAACCCCAAAACCTGCCTGGAGTGCCCCAAAAACCGCCCCAAAACCGCCCCAAAAACTGCCCCAAAATCCTGCCCTGGAACCCCAAAACCTGCCTGGAG